CTCATAGCGCGTTTGGGGCGATATGCGGTGGTGGTATGGTGAAGCACGACGGTTTTTCCTGTTTAGCAAACTGTGCTTTGCTTAAATTCTAAAAAAAAAAAATTGCAACTAAAATCTGTGTTTTTCAATCAAACTTGGTTGTCTGCGGTAGCTGCCAGAAAACTACGGTCTGAAAAAAAAAAATAAAACTTTGTAATAGTCGTCATAGTTTTTTGAACAACTGCTTATTCTTCAGTTGTTTAAGCAAACAACTGCAAATGTCTGAAACAGACCCTCAATCAATTGAAGTTAGTAAGTGTAGACCGTTGATTAATCCAGCCTAGTTAGCTTTCTTCAATCTTGATGGCAAGCCTTTGGAATCTCCATGTGATTGTTGGATATACTTTGTGGAGGTAGATTTTTATTTGGACCGGCTTGACTAGGGGTAGGCTTATTAAGTTGGTTTTTTTGTAGCTTTTGGCTCGGATGCTCTTCCATTTAGCTCGATGTCGGCTTGATGGCTCTTGCTTGAATGATTCAGCTGTCTTCTTGTTTGCCTCATGACTAAACCACCTTTGGTCTGGTTGGCTTGTTCGATGAGGCGATCTCCACAATCTCCTGGCAACGGGCTCTTCTTCATCATATTTTTTCCATATATATATATATAAATGTAAATTCTTCTATTAATTTATTGGATCCTCATAAACAGAATAATTTTATACCAAACAAGTCTATTTTTTTTTGCATTTCAATTTAAGTATAGGCAAATTATTAAAAATTAAATTTGCCTATTTGACCGCCCTAATATTAAAAAATATTGGTGCCTATTTAGCCTAATTTGAGCCTAAATTTGGTTTAGGTTTAACCTAACTCAAGCTTACCCCATTTCCTTTACCCTGTCCCAAATTAGACCTAAAATCCATCTCTAAGTTTAAACCACTTTAAACTTAGCAAAAATTTGAATGTTACTAGGTCTAACCCAAGTTGAATTAACTGATAACAACCAATTTAATTCGATTTTCAATTCTAACGACAATTCTCAAATCATACAAAATCTCAACTAGTCTGTTAATAAAGAACAAGAAGACATCAACAATATGGGATACGACAACTCTGAAAGTGAGACACCCGTCCTCAAACTTCAAAGAGCTCGATCGCAATTGACTTAGAATTCTCGGATTCAGAGATCCCTCCGGAAGAGCCAGTTCCGCCGTTTATGTTTTTTTCTTCTACTATATTATTTATGATTCTTTTATTTAATAAAAAAAAAAAAGGAAAAAAAAATTTGTGTATTCGGGATTGCGGAAATTGACTAATAATAGAGTTTAGAATTAGTCAATTAGGTGATGGTATTTGGTGCACCGTTTATGTTTTTTCCTTCTACTATATTATTTATGATTCTTTTATTTAATTTAATTTGCTGTTGATGAATCTTATATATGCACATAGTTATGATTTGTTCATCACCATATTGTATTATTGCTTAATCTGAATTTTCATCGGCGAAAAGAAACACTGCCTTGCATATTTCTAAAAATATTTATGTAATAAGAGAAATGATGTATTTCTATTAATGCTCTTATGTTACAATTTTTTAGAGTTTCTTATAAATGTCAGATATGTTATTGCTCCAGAGAAGCAGTGGTGATTGTACTTGGTAGATATGATTATTTAAAAATTAGATATTATTATAAAATTAAGGTATAGAAATAACAAAGAAGCGAAAATTTTAGGGCAAATAGAAAGAAGCTTTTTTTCAGAAGGCACAGCTAAAAGTGAACAGAACTTGAAATATGTATTTTAACTTTTAGAAATTGATGGTAGTGTTATATTTTCAATGTGGGTGTTTAAGAGATTTGAATGTTGGGTGTACATATGAGAGTTTAGGTGTTAGATTTGTAAATACATAAAAAGTTTGTGCTTATGTATTTAAATGCTCTTAAAAATTATTGGATATGCACGCAATTTTCTAAACAAACACAGTTATTTGTCGCGGACAAAAAGTCTAACATCAATTAGGTGAAAACCGAAGAGCAGCATTAAGTCCGGGCTACCAACCTCTTTTAAGTTTTTTTTGAAGGTGATAAGTGTTATCAGAGCAAATTAACGTTTAACAGGTGTGTAAATTTTCCTTAGTCCAGTGGGGCCCCCGGAGGAGCCAATCCGTGACGAGGGCATCATGTGATTGGATGAAGGAGAATGTCACAGAAAATAAACCCCACATCGGTTAGGTGTAAGGCCAATAACAATATTAAATCATGGGTTGCCCACCTCTATTAAGAGCTCTTTTGGGAGGTGACATATTGCTCAAACTGATATCTAGAATGAACATATTA